GTATACAATGATATAATATCATTGGATTCAAATTTAATTCCATCCATTACAGTAACCCACTTGTAACCTACTGTACAGCAGAGCGACATACACGACTTACCCGCCTTTTTTCTTATTAATGTCAAACTGAACATAAATATTCATATATTGATAAAAAAAAGGTTTAGTATCATTTAGTTATTAATTTTATTCAAATCAAAAATCTGTATACTATATATACCTACATGTAGGTACCTATACTATTTAATTAACATATGAAATAACACATAAGCTCACATACTTTTTACCGAATACATTATACATATTATATAGGTACGGTATCTGAACAATTATATACTTACATCTATACGTATATGTATATATATAACAATCACTTCACTGACAACCCTACTTCGGTGGCAAACCGTTCATTTAATTCGTCCTACTACTACACAACGGTAAATGTGATAATATAGTATATAATATCATCGGTGGTATTTTAATTGGGTGTGAGCGTGTATAACAATAATAAAGATAATAAGGGATGGACGGGCTGAACAACTGCGCCGCTCCGGGCTATATAAAAGGGGTAGACTCGTAGAGGTATATACTGTTAAGAGAAGAATATATGTCTATATACGAGAAACGCACACCTGATCATTTCGAGGTTCTGCAGTTCTTATGATCACATAATATATGACATGTATAGGACATAGGTACGTATTCATATAATACGTATTCAAAGAACTATAGATATAACTACAATATATTTATTTATAATATATATAGGTATATAATACAAACTGCAGCAGTGTCACTGTTACAGCACGCCAGTGGTAGGTACATATAATATATATTTATACGTATACACTATACATTATATAGGTTGTAAAAACCGGTGGCAAAGGGTTAACGAGATCGTCTCCTGACCTGTTTGAACCACGCTGCACATACGTTATGTACTTAATACCTACTCGAATACAATTWTTACCTTTGGATGCTTTTAAAAAAAAAATTAATAATTGCCGTATAATAAAACACAGTGGTGGCGACGACAATTCGGACACGGATTAGTCCCTGGTATATAATTTTACCCTGTTTTTATTTTTATTTTTTCAAACCCACTAGATGAAATAATAACGGTCATATAATTGTACTGCATGTGGAGGGTTGAAAAAAAATCGAACAGTAAATAATGAGAAGGCATGGGTATTATATATTTATATTTTGTATTTTATTTATATTATTTTACACCGACAAACACAGACCAAATACATTGTACACACAGTACGTATATTTTTTATATTATGTTATTATATGAATATAAGTATGAAACACCATTTTTTTTTAAATACTGTGTAATACAAATTATTTTCTTTGAGAATAGATTGATTAAATCTATGTTATGTCCTTGATTGGGTCCAAGTGTGGTGTCAAGGTTGTGAGATATCCTGTGATCAATACAGTCTTGATTACCTAGTTGTCCTAGTTGATTGATTAATACGTATTCTGCTATAATAGGACGCTGCTGATGTATCTTCTCTGCGATTTAAATAAGGATTTAACCATCGAATAATATCATTTTTAATCTCTTTTATATTTTGGTATTTTRTTTTTCGTATGCTCTTTTTTTTTAGCGTTTGTTTTTAATAGTAACATTGATATAATTTTTTAACTCRTCGTATATATATCAATCGATTTATGATTAATTAAAAGAGTTTCATTACTGTTAATTGCGATTGAGACTTGTAGGGATTTATTTTGGTTCATCGTTTTTAGAGCTATTCATATAGCTTTAAATAAATCTAAATCTTTAAAAAATGCACAGTGTAAATAATAATATATACGAAGTGGAAAAAAGTGCCTAAACCAATAATATATTTTTTGATTAAATATCTAATTTTTTCACTTAAAATATACGAAAAAAAAGGTACCTACGTAAGTGGGTAGGCTCTGCTCAGTACCTATACATTAAAAATTTCTGTTTTTCCTAATTTATTTTTGATTTTTCYTGACGCAATTGAAAACCTTTGACCTCCTAAAGTATACAGACTATCAGAAAACATGCTGCTGAAGAAAATCTAAGTAATTTTACTGCCCCAAAAGGTGATCACACAACAAAAAAATACACATATTATTGTAAAATCAATAAATTCATTCGCTCCGCTCAGAATCTAAAATGATAATAATGGTGAAAATATTTTTTTTAAACATTAAATATTAATAAAAATATATTTTCAAAAATATTAATTTTTATTAAAATAATGAGTGTCTTACAACCTTACATTATAAGGATCACCTATAGCTGGTATTATCTAGCTAAAAAGGGTATATACTATAATATCTAACGCACATAATGGGCCGTATCCATTTTCCTCCAAAAACGAGATACCGTTTTCCTCCACTGACCATTTTCCTCCAAAAAAATAAAAAATAATTCTTGACCATTTTCCTCCACTTTCTATTTTCCTCCAATAAATAATAAAGTAGGTAATATAAATAATTTATTTATAGCATAGAAAAAAAATATTTTTGTCAGGTCATTATGTTTAATATAAATAAAATAATAAAATAGTTAATAGGTACCTATAAATAATTTATAC